TATGATCAATTAGTGCAAAATATTAAACAGGCTCATTTCACAGTGGTTACAGCAAAACATTGGAGGATGAGAGCTTCTTTAGAATGACATCTTGGAGGGAGTTTACAGTGCCTAGAGCGTCACTATAAACACAGCCAGATGTGGTTCAGTTTTTCATGAGCTCTCCTTTGAGTATTTCTGGAGTTTACAGTGATTTTAACAGTGTTCCACAGAGCACCTGAGCACATTGAGGTTAGCATCCAAATGAATGTAAATAGATGTCATTTTTCTCACCATTAAAATCAGGAATGCCATAACATGACGTGATCACAGTAATTCATTGTCATATCCAACCTTTCCCGTCTTTGACATTTTAATGATCATTACTCTAATAAACCACTTTATTATGTACTCTGAAATTAATCTCACAAAAACCATGTGGGAATAATTATTTAATTATAGGATTGCAGAGGGAAACACAAAGGGAAATTTGAAGGGAGATTAATAGTGTTTTTACAGATGGGTGTCATTTGATTGCATTACTGTGTTCATCAGCTAGTTAATTAAATTCTGATTTTTGCATGCCATGCTGAAACTAACAATAGTGATGTCCATTGAGTTGTACAGCCTAGCAGGTTTTCTTTTTAATTCCTTTGAGCTCATTAGTTGTTAAAGGTCTGGGCAGAACCAGAACAAGCTCATCACAATGGTTTTAGCTGAATTTAATAGTATAAGAGAGTTACAGTATGTTTGACTACTGGCCTCCTACCAAACAGCAAGATAGATTACTGATATTCCTGCATAATGTCAATCATTTTTAATTTCTCTCAATTGACATGCAATGGCACCTGTTTTTCCAATAACTTCCATGCAAATCTGGGCAAAGTGAATTTGAATGAAAAAAAAATGAATGTTTGAAGCAGGCTGTTCCCGTCCAAGAGTGTTGAGAAACAGGGATGTGAAACCAACCGTGCAAGCAAATAGCAAAACCTGTGGTCAGTATGGCTGATCTTCCCATAACCCTTTTACTTCACTGTGTGAGCCATCCTTCCTCAAACCCCAATGGATGTCTTGCAAAAATAAATTGCAATAAATAAGGCAGAACGACTTGCCTTGTTGATTTCTACAACAAGTCACAAGGTCACCCGCGAGGTTTATTTAATGGAGCTTAGAACTGAAAGGCTGTGTGAATGAGTAACAGAGACAGTAACCATGATAAACTTTCACCATGTGTTTTGTGTGGAGATTTGGAGATGTATTCTCCAGCATTCACCTGGGAATATCTCATTAACCTGTGTGGAGTATGGTGATATTTGACCAATGATTTCATCAGATCTGTAAATGTACTTCACATATTAAGATTTTGGCCATTCTCCTTATATAACTATTTAAGATCAGTCAAATAGCAAGGGGGCTGCTGATGGACTACAACCTTCATCTCATTCCTCAGATTTTCAATCGGATTGAGGTCAGGGCTCTCACAAGAACAATCAAGGACTTTTACCTTTTTCATCTCCACTGTTGCTGTGCCTTATTGATTTGGGTCGGTTTGGATTCTTGCAGAAGACAGTAGGTTTTGCCCCATTTATTTTTTCATTAATTCATTTTCCCTTTTTTCCTCACCCAGTCATTGATGATGAGAAACATCACAGTAACATGACACTGTCACTACTATTCTTCCCCATCGTAGGGATGATGTTCTTTGAGTGATGTGCTGTTTAGTCAGACCACAAAACATTTTGCCAAATGTGTAATGCCTTGTTGTTGTTGTTGTTGTTTTAGTTTCAGTAATGGCTTCAGGCCAGATACTATATGTGAATTGCCTGGGCTATCAATGTCACTTTCACTCTTTGACCAGTCTTGACCATAATAGCCTGTAGCTCTTTCAAAGTTGACATTGGCCTCTTGATTGCCTCTCTGATCAGTCTCCTTTTTGCTTCGTCATCCAGTATGGCCCGATCTGGGCAGGGATTCGGTTGTGTCATGCACTTTTCACTTTTTATAATATCGTGACCATGCTCCAAGGGATATTTAAGGCTTTTGAAATATTTTTATATCTCCAGCTCTTGAGATGAGATATAAATTGAGATGCACTGCCCAAACAGAAGCCGATAATGTTATTCTGAAATCATACAGGTGGAGGATAATTAGCTTGCTGTGTGATTTGGAAGGCAATTGGTTACACCAGAACCACCACTGGTTTTCAATTGTAATTACTTTTCAGAATGTTCGAGCATTTGTTGCTGATTTGGAAGATGTGTGTCACAATGTTAATAGAGGTAAAATAAGTTCTGATTTAATGTGTCTTGATTTCAGGCTATTAAGACTCAACATGTGTTAGTTTGGAAAGGACATGCAGCCTTTCTATAGGCATTGTTAGTAGTACAAAATGGCCTTTTCATTGACAAATAATCAAAGAATACTGTAGATTGTGGAGAATTGGTTTGTTCCATCCATTTTCTAACTGCATCATCCGATTCATGGTTATGGGGGATCTGGAGCTGACAAGCATCTCGACAAGCAACAGGCACAAGGCAGGATATACCCTGGATACAGCAGCAGTCCATCACAGGGCTTGATCCTTAGCATACAAAAGTAGTGTCATCATTGCATTACTGACAGACCAATGAGCTGTCCAGTTTATATCTATTTTTTAAGGTCAGAGTATTTCCATGCATGTCACCACTCCATTTACAATGTCTCACGCCACTGCCGTACAGCCACTTTCAAATTCTGTTCTTTTCAAGTTAGCCTGTTCTGTTAAACATTTTATAATACACTTTTATATTGCATGACACACAGTAAATTGATAAGAAGCATGTTGGATTTCTGTTTGTTTACCCTATACTTATATCACAATCTCAGCACTTTGGCGAAACCAGAGCATTTCACAATTTCACAAAAAAGCCCCTAAATTGACCAACAAGGATGTGGAAAACTTTTAATTTTTACCTTCCATATATAGTAACTACTGAAAAAAACACATTTAAAAAAAAAATTGTTTCAGTTCTCCACATATGCCTGTGATAGTACTGTATATACAGCTTCTTCCTGTTTCTATTATATGATGGAATTCTGCTTTACAATGCACTAGCAAGATATAACTTTGAATATTATGTTGTTTTTGTCACTATACCGTGAAAGGATATTGTAGCCTAAGAAAGATTTTAAATAGGAGTTTCAAGAACCTTCTTTGGTGTACTGTAGCTTTCAAAGGTTGTGTTTCAGATTCAAACTGTCAGCTCTCCTGTACCTCTAAACAACCGAGGAAAACCTAGACAAGGAGCCGATTTTTAGTGCAGGAGGTTCAACTTCTTCAGTATCTCAAAGCTTTGGGAGCTGTAGTGAGTAACATTACCGAAAGAACAATCATCTTATGCTGTACCACGCTCAGAGGTGAAGTTGAGATTCAGACAGGGGTTGACTTCTCCTCCACCAACGATTCAATCACAACTCCACAACAGCGAAGGAACGTAATGAGTTTCTGAATCCCAGCCTAAGGGTCCATATTCTTCAAGTATCACAAACCACTATAAAATCAGCAACCTCTGAACACATGAGCAAATTAATCTGATCATAGTTTCATAACATTTGTGAATGCGACAAATCTCCTCACTAGATCAGAGTCATTTATGTAGAAGAGAAGTGTTTTAGAACTGACCCTTGAGGTACACCTCCAACGACCTCACTCTGGGCTGAGAAAACCCAAAGAAACAAAAGAAAGGTAACAAACAAGGGGAGGGCATTCAGCCCATCTAGCCAATTTGGTAGTTAGTAGCTAATTGATCCAAGGACCTCATGTGACCATTTCTTGAAAGAAACCAGGGTATCAGCTTCAGCACGTCTGGGAAGCTAGTTTTGTTCTCCCAAAGCCCCTTGGGTAAAGAACTGTGTCCCGCTCTTTATGTTCACTGTACTTCAGTCACCTGGTTTTCACTTGTGTCCTCAGGTACATGTTTTCATTTTCATTCTGAAGCTGTCCACTGGTTTGACTTTGTCAATGTCTTTGACAACTTTGAAAACTTGTACAGTATCAGGTTTCCTCTTAGTCCTCTGTGTTTAAGACAATTAAACACAAGGAACCTGATTGCCCCTTATCAGTACACAGCAGTCAAACATCCTTTTTAGTTAGGGATTCCAAACTGAACCTAACGTATCGTACTTGGATGAAAAGCTTAAATGTTAATCATCTTTGGGAAATTATCGCTAAATTAGCTCAAATACAATTTGCTGAATCATGGTAAAGACAGAATTTCTCAAAACCACTACTTAAGCAGCAAAACCCCAAACAGATGTTACTTCTCACGAGTGAGAAACAGAAAGTTCCTCATTGGGGTTATATTAGATAGGATAAAGAGCTCCACTATTGGTCTCTCAGTCTCTCGCCAGTTGCAGAATGGAGACAACAGTCATAACCTCAGCTCTGCTTCTAGTTCTTCTCTTCAGCCTCTGCAGGGTAAGAATCCAACTGTCTTTTCACTGTCCCAGCAAACAGAGCATATTAATCTCATCCTACATTTTACAACAATGAACTGTTTCTCCCAACATGTTGTTCTCACATAACTCTGCAATTAGAGCTCATAGTGCTTTGAACACAGTTTCCTTTACTGTGCGCAGAGATACTTATTAGATGTTTAATGTTCAGCAAATGGAATTGAAACAATAATAAATAAATAAAACTTGAAGCAATATTTTGGTTTGATTTTACAGGAAATTTAAAACACCTCTAATCCTTTATATACAGTAGTCATATTAATTCTAATACAATCAGAACTTTTGATACTGCACATTGTCTTGCTTGACTTTAAACAGAGAGATTCCTCTATTCCATTAATTATTCTATTTATGGACTCTAGAGATTCTAGAAACTTATTTTGTATAAGAATATATTTTGTATAAGAGCTAGACTTGTAATGCACTTTAATTGAATCCTGTACTAATGTATATGAGACTGTACTAATGTATATGGTTAGTTTTTAGGTGATTGTTATAGAGTACAGTATCACTCATTAGGTCAAGTCCCTTGATTTTCAATATATAAATTACGATGTTTCTTACTTGTTTTACAATGTCTTCATACAAAGAACTTCGCACTTACTTAAAATGAATTGATTGCATTAGACCAGGCAGTAATATAGCACCCGCCCCCTCTGCTGGGTGGTTTAATGAAGTACAGCTTATAGAAATGTGGAATTTTGTTCTTGAGCAGACCTGTCAGAGTCAGAGGGAAGAGGAGGACCTGCACACAGAGGCGGTGACCCCTTCTCCCGCATCCTGCTTCTGTGAGCTGAAGAACCTGGGCCAAGCCTTCCCCTGGCAGACACTGGAGGACATGCAGAGTGCCTCCAGCAACTGTACTCACGCCATCACCAAAGAACAGGTATTCCTGCACTGCTCGGGCCATATTAGTGTACAGGCAGTATAGGAGTAAGAGAGTTCAAAAGTTCTATACTGGGCTGCTTGTCACTTCCAATGATCTTATACCATAACCTTGGCAAGTAAAATAAGCAAATAGTTAAGTAGTCTAGAAGCTGTTCTGGAAATCCAAGAACTAGCTGAAATGCAGGAAAAAGATAGTTGAATTGTGTATTAGGAAACCTAGTGTGTCATGTTTAGGGGAAAAAAAGTTGGATTGCAATCTTCATGAAATTTTAAGTGTGTGATACCAACAGTAGAACACCACATGTGGGAAAATGCATTGAGGTGTTGTTTTGTAAAGAACTGGTCCAGAACAACACCAGTTGCTTCACAATGCTGATCAGCCTGTTACCCCGCTAGCTGACCGAAGTGGAGACCCTGCTGGACAGCCTGCACTACCGGCTGCTGGACCTGGAGAAGGACGTGAAGGACCTGGAGGAGGCGAACGATGAGGGGATGTACGGCATCATCTCCCTGAGGATCATTGAGATCGAGCTGAACGAGATCAGTGACCTCCTCGCCAGGCTCAACAGCACCACCCGGAACCATCAGGCCCTCACTGCCAGAGTGGCTCCACAGGTAACACACTGGCTCCATTGACACAATGCAGCACAACATGTGGAGTTGTCTGCTGTGAATTACATTAACTATTTTCCAGCCCTTGAAGGTCAGCAAGAATGAACTACTGACATATCACAGTAACGGTGACTGTGATCTTGGTGCTCTTTTTTGGCATGAATCAAGTACACTAATGTAATTTATTTCCCCAGCTCTTTTCCAATATTAGATAACAATAAATGTATACAGTACAGTATGATTCATTAGGTCACGTCCCTTAATTTACCATATGTAAGTTGATCAATATTTTTTAAAATATGATGGGCAGGTAACTGTGATCACTGATGCAGATCACATTTAAAGCATTAATACAATAATAAAATACACCACACGATACAATAAGCCAATACAATTCTAAAATGTATGTCTACCAATAAAAGACTGCACAAATACATTTTAGATTACTCATTAAACATATGCATTAGATCCAACTGTATTGTAATAAATTATGTAAATGAACACAAATGCATTTAATTTTTTTGAAAAATGAATTGACCTAACCTAGTTGTCCTGCTGAAAATCACAACAATAAAAACAGTTTGTGAATCCTCCCACGCACATGTAGAATGTCATAAATCCATGCACCTGAAGGTTTGACCAGGTGTCTTCCTTTATTCAGCTGGAGATCCTGATGACTGAGATGGAGAAGCTGGTTGACTTTGATAGGATGCAGGTCGTGAAGAAGGAGCAGGAGAACAAAAGGGTGAAGAGAGATCTGGCATCTTGCAAGACAGAGCTGCAGGCAACACCTGCTCCACACAGCACCTCTGCACCAGGTGAGAGAGACACAGAGTTTGTGCTTTCCCCTTCCAAAACAAAAACGGCAGACATCCAAGCTCCTGATCAGAAAATATCAATGATGAAATCTGAAATTATAAGTGAAATCTGGGCATGTTCAAAGAAATACTTCTCTTAAGAAGGTTGGTTTAGATCCATGATGTGCGAGTCTAGTGTATTCTGATGGACAATTCACATCTGTCTGAGATTTGCCAGGTTCATGATGAATGACGTGGCAGCTTTTCTCACTTTTCTCACTTTACTGTATCTCCACCACCTGAGCTGGGCCATCCATCTCCATGTCTGAGCACCATTAGTAACGTCATTTTTCCTTCCTCTGCCTGAGTCTGTAATTCCTGTTGACCACTGTCTGCACAATCCTTCCTCAAGTGGTGAAAAAGGGAACGCTTGACACAGTGCCTCATGGAGAAGACATCCTTGATTACCTTATCTTTGCATCACAACAGTAACCTTGGATTAACAATTCTTAAGGATAAAAATAATTGCCATTTGTTAAGTTAGTGCTGAAAACAGAAGGATATTTATTTTTGTTTTATTTAGTGGGAAAAATGTAAATTGATTTAATGTATGTCTTCTTGTTAAAACAATTTTAGCCCAACTAATTTTCCCTTCTCCTAGGAAACTGTCCTTTTGGCCAACTTCGGAACGTAAGTGGTCCCAGCAGCTATATTGTCACCCAATATGGCACCTCCTATACTTATGGCGCCTGGGGAAAAGACCCCAAACCAGCCCCTGGCAAGGAAGACTGGTACTGGCTGGTGGTGCTGACCAGCAGTAATGCCTACGGCAACTACATTCGCACTTACAGCAGCCACCTCACCCTGATAGCCGCGCAGAGTGTTAGCGATGTCACAGTCACATCTTCCAATCCCACGACCAACTCCATGATGGGCCCCGGATCTGTCATGTATGACAACGCCTTTTACTACAACTGCTACAATTCACCTAGTGTGTGTCGCTTTGACATGACAACCAAAGCCATCACCTCCATGAGCCTCCCAGGGGCAGGCTATAACAACAAGTTTCCCTACTGCCATCTCACCTCCTGCTACAGCTTCACAGATATTGACCTGTCTACTGATGAGTCGGGGCTCTGGGTGGTCTATGCCTCGGAGGCCAATTTTGGCAATGTCGTCCTTAGCCGACTTAATGCCAGCAGCAATCCTGTCGCTCTCCAAACGTGGCACACCTCTCTGTTCAAGAAAGCCATCTCAAACACCTTTGTCACCTGTGGGGTGCTGTATGCCACTCGCTACGTTGACAAGGAATACGAAGAGATCTTTTATGCCTTTGACACCATCACAGGCATCGAGCGAGGCAACCTCAGCATTCGCTTCAAGAAAGTGTCACCCATTATCCAGCACCTCAACTACAACCCAAGGGATCAGCTCCTCTATGTCTATAATGATGCCTACATCATCACGTACCAGGTGGTGTTTGGGTAGTCTGATCTTGAAGCAGCCTGTTTCAGCCTGCAAGCCCAGCTCAAGCACAGACTGATCACGAATAGAACAACATTTACAAGGAATCCTCTACAAACAGAAACACCAATGGAAATGTATGTGCAAGAAGAGACTCCAATTGTTCTATTTTACTCATTTGCTTGCTTGTTTTTTGCATTTTAATTATTTTTTTCATAAATGTTAAACAAAAAAAGAGTGGGGGATAGATCAGATGATTCTGTTTATCAAAAAGTAGAGAATACCCCATAATAATGAGCTATCTCCAGTGGCTATTATAGTCCCAATAACTTACCACATCCATTCTTACTTACAGCAGATGGTGACACAGCACTGTCTGAGATATTAGTCATGGTTTAGTCCTTACTTGCACTTCCTAACTGGCTGCATGTTAGTCCATCTGAGCTGACACATTTGATAGGTCTGTTGTTAATGTTGAAAGTACACAAGAGGCATGTTCACCAAGAATGATGCATTTTATGAGATCACTTACAGTACATAGCCCTTTTTTCCCATAACATAGCACATTCTACTTAGAGTCTGATTTAATAGAGAAGTGTATAATATAGAGTATAAAACCTGGATCACTATAACCCTGTATTGGACTAAGCAGTTAGATGTATATATGGCAGTATATTAACATTAAATAATATATAACAAAATATATGTGAAAGCACTTTTAGTGAAACATCAGGTTAAAAATAATTAAAGTAACAATTGAAAGTAAATATGTGGTTTGAGAATAAGACCAATAAAAATGCAGTATTGAACTGGAATACATTATTTTATTGTACCTAAAATCTTTTTTGTAGAAATCTTTACTTATGAAATGCATACGGACTTTTAGCATTCCAAACGCATTACTTAATCACTGCACCATTTTGTAATGAATAAAATTATTTTTAAAAAATGATGAAATTGCTTCTGACAAGCGAATGGAACTATTTGCCAATCAGTCATTGTGACATGTGAATGAAGAAGAATTAATGTATGCCAAGCCAGGGTTGCACACTGGGCTGAGACTCTGACCGGTGGGGCTGTCTCTGCTGTCTACAGCAGGGCCTCTGTGGCTTTGGGGAAAATTGGCCCTGACATACAGTAAGTGTGTTGGTTTGTGTCTTTGTGGCGCCCAGTGATGGACTGGTGTCCCGTTCAGGGTGTACAGTATCTTGCCTCGCACCCTTTCCCTGTCGGACAGTCTCCTGCTCCCCTGTGACACTGTATTGAATAAACATGGTTAGAAAACAGATGAATGAAAAATATCACGATGGAAAATTATTATTTTTTACCCCAAACACTGGTTAGATTCAGTCAATCAGTGGTTGCTGGTCAGTCCAGATCAATACTAGAACCCCTGTGTCTGAGGAGAAGCAGTGTAACATGCAGGTTAAGGGCAAGAACAAGCACTTGTACTTTGTATCACATATCTAGATCACTGCAAGCTCACAGGCAATCATTGAGCAGTAGAGGTCAGTGTTGTAGAGCAAACTAACTCCAAACTCCTGGTGCCTGACATGCTGCCGTTTGGATAGAACAGGAGCCGAACCTCAGCACTTCCTTTCCATTCCCATGCAAGCCTTACTTCCAGCTAAGCGAAAATTGGACACTGGGACTTGGGTTAATTAAACAATTAAATTGGAAGCTTCAAAGTAATGTAATGTAATGGTATCAAGGTTGATGACCCCTATACCAAAGACAAAGCCAAAGCACTTTATTATGTAATGCACATAGTTTGAAATACTGGCCAAGTTTAAAAATCAGCTTAGAGGGAAACTAAACAACATAAATAACAATGTTAGAATATATTATACTCCAGGAGGTATAGAGAAGTATACTTGTGAGATAAGTAGGTGGTAACAAGTCTTATCAAGGCCAGGTTGGGGATTGTGAGTCCTAGGATGGGAAAGCAAAAACACACTGCTGCTGTAGAAAACTGGTGGATCAATAGGTGGCGCTCTTCTGTTTGGACCTTAATTTGCCCCATTATGGCAACCAGGGACATTGTGTTGTAGGATGTGCCATCCTTCAGATGAGATGTTAAGTTTCTAACATCTTCTCTTCTGCGTGTGGCTCTTGGTGCAGAATGGCTGTGTAACCATGGGACCCCTATGTAGGGCTGTACATGAGTGCTAGGTGAATTGAGTTCTCACCTGTATGCAAAGTCCTTGGGATCCTTTGGAATTAAATGCGCTATACAAATCCAAGGAATTAATCAAATTTATTTGATTGATTGCTTTTAATCACATTTGGATACATGTGCATTGTAGACAAGTTAATACAACTATTCATTTGAAATACTGCTTTTGCTGTGCCACGCAGAATAGAACCATTAATTATAATACGACTACCGTTTCCAAAGTTAATAATTGTCAATTACTCTGCAGCAAAAGCTGTATAATATAAAAACAAGTGTTGCCTTAATATCTGCAGCTATTATGGAACTTGGCTCTTGATTTCTTAGTCATGGAATACCTGATAATATGGTATTGTGGGGTTTCCTTTGACATGGGCGTTTCAGAAAAACAGGTCAAAGGCCATGGTGTAGCCATCATTGAAAAGGTAGAGACGCTGGTCAAAAGGGCTGTAGTTTAGGTATTGGATAGTGCTGGAGACCTTTTCAAATGGCAGTTTCAGGGCACTGGTTTCGTAGCCGTTTGCTGTGTCAAAAGCATAGAAAACCTCCTCTTGGTAGGTGTTGACATAACGGGTGGCGTAGAGCACTCCACACACCATGAAGGTGTTGGTCACCGACTTCTTGAACAGCCTGGTCCTCCAGGTCTGGATCACAGCCAGGTTGGTGGTGTTGACTTTGCTCACCACCACATTCCCATAGTTCTCCTCTGTGGCATAGATTACCCACAATCCTTTTTCATCTGTTGCAAAATCTATATCTGTGAAAACAGAGCAGCTGTAGTAGCAGTAGGGGAACTTGTCACTGTAGCCCGCCCCAGGCAGAGAAACAGAAATGATGGTCTTGGTCTGCAGGTCATATTTGCAGATGTTGCCTGAAGCATAGCAGTTGTAATAGAAGGCGTCCTTGTACAAGACAGAGCCAGGACCTTGGATGGCGTTGGTTGTGGAGTAGGAAGACGTCACAGTAATTGTTTGATAGTTTCTTGATGACATGAAGTCCTCATGGCTAGGGTAAGTATACAGGTAATTGCCATACTTGTTGCTACTTGTCAGTGCTGTGACCCAGTAGACCGCACTGCCGTCGTCCTTATTGTCTCTGCCCCAGGACCCATAGGGGTATGACTTGCCATAAATACTGAGCTTAGTGACCGCTGGGGAGCTGATATTCGACAGCAAACGTCTGGAGCATTGGCCTATGACGACAGAACAAAGACACAAGACTTTATTTCTGAACAGTTTTCTAATCGTTTGGATTATTCCTGATCAATAGTGGGCCCTGTCATATCAAATGGAAATAGCATAATGGATAGATAAATACTGGTATCATAATAGATAGATACAATCTATTAGTTTATTGAAAATGTACTGTATTTGTCTGCAGCCCCTGTGACATTTATCAACCCTAAAATGAGAGAAATTCAAAACAACAAAATAGAAATTCAGGTCTGCGGGCAGTAGTGTCCCTTAAAGGAGAAATATATTTTGCTTTACAAAACTTTTCACTCGTCTTCTTAACAGTGCCAACAAAAGCATAGCATCAAACCGGTAGTGACATTGACAAAACTGACAGAAAACATTGTACAAACCTCTTTAGTCCCCTGCAAGTCACTGTGTGTAGGAGCCTTTGATTTCAGGGGAGCTTCTCCCCAGTCTTTTTAAGCATGCTTACTTGATCTGAATGAGTCAGATCAAAGTAAAGTCCACCTTCCTTGTTGTACAAAGCATTTCACAGGTGTCTCAGGGTGTGAAAGGAGCAATTGACCATGGGAATGTGAACAAGACATTCTCAAAATATAAGTATTGAATTGTCCTATGACTTCACATTTGTTGTTTGAAACTTTCCTACCACTTGGTGTCAGTGTATAGTTACAAATTTTTGACTATGAAAAACGTCACCATATCAAGCAATTTCTAGCTACTTATAGTAGCTCAGCTGTTAAAGGCACTCTCTAACAGCACAGCGCAGGTTGAGCTCAGTGACCCAGACATCATGTGTTCCAGCCTGTGGAACCAGTGTGGAGCTGACACTAGTGTAGAGCTGACATTAGTCTGTTGTACAGTAACTCGTGAAACCTGTCAGCACCTGTGACCTTATGGTAACATCATCTATTGACCTAGTTCTCTAATGAGTGTTGGGTGTCTAGTAAAGCCCTGTGGAACTCAAAGTCTGTCAAACGGGTCAGAAAGGTAAACTTCTTGCAGAAGTTCATAGGTGTTATGCCAAGGTTAGGGGGCTTCAGCCACAACCAAAACCCAGTTGCTTTGCCCCTCTGGATGTGGTTGCCTGCAACAATCCACAGCAAACCCACACGGTTTGTACCCTCTGCCCATGTAGACACTGGCTCTGGCCCTTTCCCCAGTGGAAGAGCCCACTCACTTTGGTGGTTGCTGTCCAGGGTCCTGCAGGACTCCAGGCGGTTCCTCAGGGTGCGGAGGTGCTCCCTCATGGCCAACAGGTTAAACTTGTCAAAATTCTGTAGGCTCTGCACCTTCACCCGGACGCTGTTCAACTTGAAACATCAAGGGAAAGCGAGTTAGTTTTCATAAATTCTCAAGAAAAAAAGACGATGTTGCCTTTATTGTATTCTGATGTGAGATTACAAATCTCACCTTAACAAAGTCCCTTTCAATAAGTCCATTAAGAATTCCATACTCTGAGCTGGTTGAGAATGAAGAAGCAAGAGTCATATGTCTCAGAGATCTTAGAACATCTCTGCAGATATGGATAACAGAGGAGAGCAACCTGACCCCCTAGTCAGACTTCACACATAACCCATTCTTGCGCCCTACCTCATTGGTGAGTTCTCGTGTTTTGGAGGGGTCCACTGCTTTATTCTTGTGAAAGTCTTTGATCTGTGTCTCCAGTCCTTCCAGCTCTGAATCTAGCTGGCGGAAATGGAGGGCATTGTACAGGCCTTTCTTATTGAGATACTCATACTGACGGACACGCTGGGTGAGGGTCCCCACGCTGCTGGATATTTTGGGGACCTTGTACTGAGTGAGGTTCACCTGCCAACAAAAACAGTCACCATTAAACGTGGCGATCCTTGAAAGTGAAAAAGTGCAGTATGTGTTGTGCCTTTGTGGCAATTAATTGTGTTTACCTTCCAGGGCTGGTTTGGAAATTTCCTTGGCATTCCTGATTAATGGAAGAAGGTAATGGATACACAAATATCTAATTTCATTATTTAATTGTTGTATTTCTACCAAGAGTTCTGTATTCAGTATACACCATTGAGTCTGATGTAGAAGAGAAAGATTTGTAATTCAGCATACTTTACTAATGGCATGTGTTTTCTGTGTTGGGTCAAAGTCCTGTATGGAGGATTGAGTAGGTAGTGGTGGGCATTCAAATGTCTGAAGCAACCCCAATTGCTGCTCAAGCAGCTCACCTGTTCCCGCAGTGTCGTAAAAGTGGCTTGGCATTTCTCCACCAAGCTCTCTGCCTCCTCGTAGCTCTGGACAGGGAAATCCCAGGCGCTGAAGTCCATCCTGCACAAACAGGAGTCACCTGTCTGGATCCCCTGCACACGCTGCAAGCTGGCTGCCTGTGCACACAAGCACCATCATTCTCATAGATAGTGGTGGCACCACCACCTACAGCACCTCATTCTGACATTAGTAGTCTGCTACAAAATCAATACCTGGAACGTTAAGTATCCCCCTTCATGACCATACTGTATCGAACTCTCACTGTGAAGCAAGAACCTGTAAAATGTGATGTGTAACTTTGATTGTAGGTACAGTATGGTAAATGTATCTACAGTAGATAATCAAACATCCTTTTAAAAAGCTGTTTAGAGGGAAATTGTGTGGCGATTTTTAGAGACCATAATGGAACCAATTAAATCAGGACAGAAAGTGGAAGAATCCTGCAAGGAGTGACGCAAAATACAGATAATGTTTCATATCCAGGTTCCATATGTGGATTCAAGTTCTGAGTTCCTATTGTGGCTGATTTTGTAAACCACAAAACTTTGGATTTTGGGACATCATGCACATTAATCGTGAAGGCTGAGAGCTGTTGAGGTGGCAGGACTCTTACTGAACATCAGTGGTTTCTGAAGATATGAATCTTGTTGACTTCTACATCATCAAGAGTACTGACAGGGACAGTGAAAGGGCAAGCATGAATTCTGCTGTTTGAGCGCTGAGACTAAAAGTTCACATTCATCTGTCAGCTTACAAATTTCAATTAAAATTCATGTAAAAAAGGAATAACAAGCGTTCTTTCAGAAACTCATTAGGGACAAACAAGAGGTTAAGTCAAAAGTGAAAAGCATTTATGATTAATCCTGAATTTGCTTTTAAAATACATAAGTTTGATTAAGATCTTTTATAGTTTGTTAATTTTTCTTAATCTCTCACAGTGATAATAGGTTCTACTTTATTTATCTATCATTACATTACTACGGGGTCCTATTTTATGATAATACTTACCATATTCATAGTTAGTTAGTCTAGAAAGTAAGGGCAAGGTACATTGCAACTTTCTTTACGTTCCACTCATGCTTGGCTTTGAATTTACATTTTGAAAAAAATTGTGATCTTAAATCAATACACATTTTACACTGTGGTTACCTTAAATAAATACACAGTTGATTGCAGAGATATTCTCATTATTTCAATTCCTAATCAATCTGAAAAATCTACAGTTGCTTTAGGCATTAAGGAAGAACTGTTGCAACAGTGCAGTGCTGTTCATGTGGTTATGTTTATTCAGATTTCACATGTATCAGAAAATGCTTTTGCATGTAGCGTATGACTCTATAGATCTAATGTATCATAGAATATATTTCAGAGCAGAAGGACAGTGAGTACTCACAGTGAGAGGCAGCAGGAAGAGCAGGAGAATCGGAGGCTTGGCCATGTCTGTAAATGAGACTCTGTATGGAGAAATGCTCCTTTTTATACTTAGCAGAGTCCAGACACTGTTCTTCCTCCTCCCCTGATAGACAGTGGGCCACCCTGCACCCTTTACAAAACAAGACTCGCGTCGTGTCCACAGCAAAACACTGCTGTACAGACAACACAGACTGCTTTGTAACATGTTATCAGTGCTTTACGAAATACAGGTTGAAAGGGCTTAAGGATATTCCCAGAATATGCTATGGATATTGTGGTAATTATGTTCTCAGAAGAATAAATTAAACTTTAAAAGTACAGTAGTCCACTGTACTTTATTGCCACTGTGTTAGGTACTAGCCGCAGCCTATAAGTACAAAAAAGCTTTTAAAATGATTATTTTGTAAATGAAGGCTCTTACTGCAGCATCCAGCTGACTAAACCCTAAAAACCTTGCACTGCTTGGAGTATTTAACAATAACCATCACTTCCCTGAATCTCTCTTTGACTTTCAAAGCACTACTTGGTTCAATCAGGCACAAAAGCTACACCCAGTAAAGGCTGATGCCATAGAAATCTGTTCAGGAAAAAATCCAAACTGAATTTGGCAAATTTCACACTTGGCATTGAGCTAGCCTATGCACATAGCTAAAATGTTTTAAGCTAATTTTGCAAAATGAAACATACAGTATTTACAGTACATAACGAATATCAAAATGTAAACGCCCCAGGGTAACATTAACAACAAGGTTGTAACTTCGGGGAAGTTACACCCACATTCACTGCATGATGCTGACAGCTGTAAGTGTGAGCAAAGGCTTCTTTCTGGGTGATTTGGGTGCGTCAGTGCTCAGAAGTTTCGGTCACTTCTGCAACCTTCCTCAATACCAAAATGTTTGCGCAGTGTTTTTACAGCATGCATACTTAGAAGAAAGTTATTGCACTTTTGAAGTAAGAACCTATGCAGGCTATTTCAGGGTACTGACTTTAATTTAGTTTTTAGCCCAAACTCCAAAGGCCATTCTTCCATTCTTATAACCAAGATTTTGTTTACACTACTTGAATATAACCTGTCTCATAAAAGGAGCAAACGTTTTTTGTCTAGAACAGAGCGTACAGGGAAAACTGATTCAGGTGTATCAAAACACCCAAAAACTACTGAGAAAGTCAACCTAGGAGTCTTCAAGAAAGAGACCGACTCTACCTGTATTGCTCAAGCTGACTTCCTGAGATCCTTCAAGAAAGTTCTTGTTCAGATTCTTGGATCATTAAGCTATTAGTATCAGAGCACTGAAAGGTTTGTTCCTGACCTTTGTCGTGTTCTCACTGCCTAGAGTTCTTTTTGCAATCTCTGATACAAGATGTAGGGTCTTCAAGTTTGTAACCTTGACAAAGTTCAGGGTGTGTAAATCCTACATCTTGTTTTCTGTGTAGCAAATCAGGGGAAATGAAACCTGCCCTGTGAGACGGAAAACAAGATGTAGGATTTAAACAGCCTGAAGTTTGGAAAGGTTACAAGCTAGAAGACCCATCTCGCCGATGGGGGCTGAAGATCCTGTCGTAACACTGCTTGTTTTCGTGGTCTTGCACAATAGCCTCCTGCTTTTATTTTTACACACTGAATAATCAGAATAATCATTTTTACTTTTGTGGAAATGTTGAGCACAGCACGCCTAACCGTTCATCAGTTCCTTGACCGGATTGTTTTGCAGAAACAACAATTTTACCACCTTTTCAGCAATATTAACCAGAGCCAGTTAGGATATCACCTTGGGTATCATATCACATGAATTACAGTAAAGAATAACTGTTAAAACTAAGTATTTACAATAATACTGTAGCTCCACATTTACTGATTTCATACATCACAATGGAACATTCTCACAATTGTGATCTATATTTTACTGTTTACAAGTAAATTCAACCTTTTCAATGAATTCAGTGAAGTACTGTATTCAAATATTATTTACAAAATATAGTCATTTACTTAGAAGGTGAGTTTAGCAATGGTGATCTACATTCCAGATAATCAGCAAACTGTTAAAAACAGTGCAAGTAATACAGAGTGATTTAAAAACTAAACCACAGGTGCTGAATCTGCAATCTAATCCACAACTTTCAATAGACTTGATTTACTCCATCATTAAAAAAACAAAAAAATTAAAGCAATTGAACAACAAAACGTATTTTCTTTGATGACAATTATTTAAACAAGAAAACCTGTCCAGGATATTTTAGGAATCTATTTTGCTCATTATTGTTACAAGTGCAAGTGATTTGTTGAAGTTCTGATTAAAACTTAAAAAACTTTGTTATTCTCATGCAGTGTTGTAATGAGTAATGAATGAAAAACATCTACAAAGTAAGGAGCAAAGGCAATATGTTAATGTGACAGACTGATGAAACTGCATGTGAAGAAAAAGTAGTGAATATGTGAAATAAAAGAAGAGATGATGTAAATATTGAATTTACTTGGTATATGAGTTGTTTTTGTTCAGTGGTTCCTTTTGATTTTATTTTCCAGTTTCAGTGCTATGCTAATCCATTGGGATAGAGCTGTAGCTTCTGTGCAAGACAGGGCCAAATAAAGACCAGAATTAATTGCTGTAGTATGGCTCACTGCTGGAGCACTCCCTGCTCACTAGATCCACAATGTGCACAGTATGTACGTCTTTCTGTACAGGAGGATAAATTATTGGCAAATTATGAGGTATTTAAAAAATGATTACAACTTTGGAATTTGAAGTGAAACATTATACTTTTCAAAATGTATGGTATGCAATCTGTATGTAGAGATATAACATAGATCTAAAAATCTTTGCTTTCCGGGTGTCATCTGCTTGGTCATTTGGGCTTGAGAATGTGGAGTAGTGTCTTCCTCTTAGGAACAAAGAGCTAGTTAACCACTGAGAAAAAGCAATTAGCTACAGTACATAATGCAGTGACAGTGTTTTCCTCACAACAGGAGTTTGCTCTTCAGTCATCATTTGGCATTGATAAATGCATTGCATTACGGCTTTGATTTCTTCTGCTATAAGACCATGCCATCAAGCCAGAACTTATCCTGCTTTCTGTACTGTGGTATTAAGCATACTGAGTGACTCCCTCCATATCTGTGGCATAACCAATCTGCAATGCCTAACAGGGTGAATTATTTCCTTTATTTAGATCATAGGTCCCCAAGCCTAGGCTCTGAGGTGTTTTATTTTCAATCCAGCTGAGCCCACATTCATTTAAATTTATGCTGTATCAGCATCTAGAATTCCATTGAACCTATTTGGTTATTGGAAGCAAATTGATCTGAGCATCTTATCCAACCATTTCTTGAAAGTATTGCTATTGGCCTCAACATCATGACTGTGTGTGTATTCCATTGTAGATTTGACATTTAGAATCTTGTAGGGCTTCCTGTGTGCAGTCTTAAATGCACTTCTTCATAGTTTCCACTTGTGTCCTTTAAGTCTGTGAACTCTTGTCTCAATTAATTCTGAAAGTTGTCTTAGACATGTAGTACTTTAACATAAAAACAGTTATTGCCAGGTAAATGGCACTGAACTAAAATGAACTAACACTCCAACCCTTCCATGAGTCCACTCAGCATTATTGTACCAAAACAAACACTAACCAAGTTCAAAACGATAAGTGTTTAGGAGCATGTGGTGAGGTAAGCAATAATACATGTTTGGTTTGTTAAAAACATGGCCTCTGGCACTTTTGTGATGCAAAGTCATCAGTTCCTTTTTTAATCATCTCTATCCTGCCCATTAGCAGTTTCAGGGTTTTTTTTTTTCATTTATTCAGGATTTTTAATGTACAGTGAGAAATAAAAAAGCAATGCCATTTTTTTTAGAGAAAGTGTGCAATAAATCCAGGTCACTATTGTCACTGTTCTCTATTAAAAAGGAACACTTTTATCAGTGCTGTTTCTGAATTGGTGGCATCCATATACAGTACTTTGTGCACAGTGACATTTCATTAATTTCAAATATTGTTACTTACGTCAAAACACATATTCCTTTTGTATACCCAGCCCTAGAAAACCAGCATGTTAATGTTCAAAATTTGATAACTGACAATTGTGTAAGGACCTCAGTATTTTGTAATCCCACAGAACAAAAATATCTGCCTATTATTTGAAATGTAAATAACATCACGTATCTGCCCAATGAATTATTCATGTAAAGCTCAGATTGTTGAGTTTTCATTGTGGATCGGTCTAGGTTTTTGTTTAAATGTGTACGCAGAGCATCTTCACAAACAGATTTACTGTATAGTATTTTCTCTTGCATATGGCAAAATAAGATTCTAAAAGATGGTTCTCCTTTCTACATTTATGCTGAAAGTTCTTCACCCTTTTTCAATATGGAGAAATGTTTTTTTGTGATTTAGAACTACAGTAACTTATTAGGTATTTACAGTAAGCACCGTGAAAAGAGCCACACTACTGTCATGTCCAAAAATCTGAAGCTGTTGAAAAATGAACTGTTCTGGACTGTGTGCCTCCGCCCAGTCACGTGCTGAAGGAGAAAGTACTTGACTCGGCTGGTGTGGCCTGAGCCAGCACTCTTTTGCCAGACTTTCAGCGCCTGAGCAATGAAGCCATCATTCATCTTCTCAGCTGTGACTGCAGTTGTCCTCTGCAGCCTTCTCAAGGTAAGGAGACAGGCCGTCAGAAAGAAGGTACAGATTGTGTACAATTAGATCTCACTGCAGAATTCAGGCAGTTTGACATCTGCACTGTCCTGGTTACAAAAAGTTTGACAGTGTTTCTCAGCTTTGCAGAGAATTGAGCATTCACATTTAAATATTTGCTGGTTTAGACTCCCTGTTTTATTAACAGTTTTCAGTTCCTAAAAACTGGTTAGTTTTGTAAATCCTCTACCAGACATTTTCAGTAATTAGGTATCTTTAGGAATTTTGCTCTCAATATACAATAAAATTGTTTATAATGAGAAATCCCTTTTCGGGTTTGATGGTTTGATGAAACACAGGACACCATTCAGATGTACACCATTACTAATTCACAAAACAAGTTATTCGGAAGGTTTAGTGGTGAAACAGTTTTCACATTGAGGTCATTTATAAAATTCTCGCTGACTATACACAAATTCTTATTAACTGTATTACTGTTAGTACTTTCTGTAATATGTGTACAGTATATTTCACTCACAACATTAATATGTGATGCAATGGAAGCGTCTTCATTTTAATGTGTGACCTTGTCGTGTTGATAAAAGACAGTTCATTTCAGTTCTTAAGACGAACCTTACTTTGCATAAACTGTAACTCAGTTCCTCCCACCTGTTAGTGCAGAACACACTTTATCCCCAGAATGCAACAGGTTGCTTTGTTTATCTGAACTCGAAGAAGGACATGAACTCAGTACTCTGGAGACTGATAACCCATGATGGACACAGCACTCCGACAATCACTTCAGCAACAGACAGTCATGCTGATGTGGTTCTTTTGATCAAACAAGTGTTTTGTTTGGTACTAAAAGATACAGTAGCTGTACCAGGCTTAATCAGCAAGGAGTAATCTTTATTACTGTAGGTAAATGGAGAAGACCACTTATTAGCCCCATAGTTAAATGTTATTATTTATTGGGGATCCACTTTAGAAACTGGTACAAGCTTAAACAGCCATTTGTATTAAAAAAGGGTTTTATTATTTTTCTTTATGATTTTAAGCATCTCAAAATAAAACTCTGGCATAAAGTCTTGACCTTACACCTCAATGGGTTAAAAGAAGCAAATTTAACTGATCATCGTGGAACTGTATCTTTACTACTGTAGATTTGACAATAAAGCACCAATACCTGCCTTAGCACAGGGTCATTTCTGTCTGTTTAAGGATCCAATTAAAAGCACGTCCATCTGAAATTGTCCTGGAGAAACAAAAATTCTCTCTTTCCAATAATACACTATCCCTACTTCATCAAAATGCACTGAAAACTGTCCTATCATGTGATCATCATCAAAGCAGAAAAGAACTGTGATTAACAGTAACTTCCTCTTACTGTATGTGTGTTTTTATCTAATCATGAAAGCTAATTGTCCTGAGTGTGAACCTGAATCTATGGTCTTTCCCTCTAGTCTTGGGTTTCAGCCCAGGTCTCAAAAGCATGCTTCTGCGAGCTGCAGAACCTGGGTCAGGCTTTCCCCTCAGACAAGCTCGAGGAAATCCTCCGAACCTCCACTGCCTGCACTCGCAGTGCCACAGAGGAGCAGGTAACATGAGCTGGGCATCCGGCTGTGATGACTTTCCTCCCCTAGACCCTCTAAGTCTGATGTTCTCTCACAGTCAGGCACGTGTCTCACATAAGATTAGGCCTTATGTTTAAAGCTGCAGGCACAGAAATGGCTGCTCCATAACTGGACCATTTAAAGATAAAGCTTTTTTACTGCATGAGGTTCGTCTTCAACAAGTTCTCTGATTGTAAGAATTCTCAATTACTGTACAAGTTTAAGACCCCAAAAGACAGTATTTTTATTTGATCATTCCAAAAATCAGTGTGTATAAAAGTGAGATGCTATAGAACCTTTTGTATTTTCCCTTGAGCTCATCTGATCTGATCTTAGTTTCCCCTCTTCTGAACTATAGAACTATGAGTTACTTGTGTAAAAAACAATATAACTAAGGTTATAAAATACAATGCCAGAGGAGGCCATGTGGCCCTTCTGGTTTGTTTGGAAATAAGTAGCTTATTGATTCAAGGATCTCTAGGCTGGACCTTTCTCAACAAGTCATTTAGAGTCTTTCCAGTGTTCACAGTTGAGGCTTGTCTATTTCTCCTTCAGCTAACCGAAGTGGAGACCCTGCTGGACAGCCTGCACTACCGGCTGCTGGACCTGGAGAAGGACGTGAAGGACCTGGAGGAGGCGAAGGATGAGGGGATGTACGGCATCATCTCCCTGAGGATCATTGAGATCGAGCTGAACGAGATCAGTGACCTCCTCATCAGGCTCAACAGCACCACCCGGAACCATCAGGCCCTCACTGTCAACCTAGGTCCACAGGTAGGACATGGGCTCCACAGGTAACACACTGACTCCACAGGTAACATACTGATTCCACAGGTAACACACTGACTCCACAGGTAACACACTGACTCCACATGTAAGGCACTGACTCCACAGGTAACACACTGACTCCACAGTCAGTAACATACTGATTCCACAGGTAACACACTGACTCCACAGGTAACACACTGACTCCACAGGTAAGCCACTGACTCCACAGGTAACACGCTGACTCCACATGTAAGGCACTGACTCCACAGGTAACACACTGACTCCACAGCTAACACACTGACTTCACAGGTAACAACTGGTAACAATCTGTAATTGCAGTCACTGCCACAAATCAAACTCATACAACCATGTACAGTATCCATTTGCAGTCAGGTGCTGGCCCAACAGCAAATAGATTTTTTAGCAAATAAGTACATTAGAAGGCAACTGCTTCAAGTCATTAAGGTCATTGTTCTGAGATGAAATGCTGGTCAACTGTCTCCTTTTTCTTCAGTGAACTGATGTAAGCTTGTAGACCTGACCAGGTATTTTCCCTTATTCAGCTGAGGAATCTGAGGACAGAGCTGGGGAAGCTGGCTGACTTTGATAGGATGCAGGTGGTAAAAAAAGAGCAGGAGAACAAAAGGCTGAAGAGACACCTGTCAGTTTGTGAGACTGATCTGAGGATGACTCCTGCTCCACATAAGGACCCTGCACCAGGTGAGAGATGCACAGAAGAAGGTGCACACCATCCTCAGGTAACATAGCTTAGGCCTTTGGTGTTCTGGTTTGTAGGGAAGAGAAGTGGTGTAAAAAGAAGTAATGGTTCATGGATGTGTCAATGAAGGCACAGTCAGGAAGATATCATTAGGCAATGGATCTTGAGACATATGGGTGAGGAAGGTTGTATAACTGGTTCACTACAGTATGGTTGGATAGGTAATTATGGTATAACGTGGCTGTACAGTATAACTCTATTTCTGGAGGGTCAAGAGTCTTCTGGTTTCTGTTCCACTTGGTCATATAGTTGGTCTAATTACTGTATGTACTGTAATTACTGTAAGTGCATAATTCAAAAACGTCTAGTTTCAGAGGTAACAGTGAAGTGAAGTTATTTGAGTAATCGACTGTAAAATATCTTATGATAAATCCCAGCTATATCTAAGAAAAAAATTACGTTAATTGTTTGACTGCTCGAGTTAGAAAATAACCCAGAAGACCACAGATCCTCCAGAAATTTAGTCTAACCCCCCTACTACTGTTTCTCATTTTCCCTTCTCCTAGGAAACTGCCCCTTTGGCCGTCTGCTGAACGTGACAGGACCCACCAGCAGTATGCTTACAGAATATGACAGCTCCTATCCCTATGGCGCCTGGGGTAAGGACCCCAAACCAGCCCCTGGCAAGGAAAGCTGGTACTGGCTGGTGGTGCTGACCAGCAGCAGCTGCTATGGCAGCTTCGTTCGCACTTACACAAGTCGCAGTGCCCAGATCGTGGCCCAGTATGCAGGTGATGTCATTGTTACTTCCTCCGTTACTACCACCAACTCCATAATGGGCCCTGGCTCTGTCATGTATAACAACGCCTATTACTACAATTGCTACTACTCCCCTAACGTCTGCCGCTTTGACATGGAGACCAAAACGATCACCACCAGGGCCCTTCCAGGGGCAGGAGCCAATGGCAAGTTTCCCTACTGCCATCTCACCGCCTGCTACAGCTGCACGGACATCGACCTGTCTACCGACGAGTCGGGGCTCTGGGTGATCTACGCCTCTGAGGAAAACTTTGGTAATGTTGTTCTCAGCCGGCTCAACGCCACCAGCACCCTGGACATTCTGGAAACATGGCGCACCTCTCTGGTCAAGAAAGCCGTCACCAATGCCTTCGTCGCCTGTGGCGTGCTGTATGCCACCCGCCTCGTCAACAACAACTACGAAGAGATCTTCTACTCCTTCGATACTGTCACGGGCATTGAAAGAGGCAACCTCAGCATTCGCTTCAGGAAGCCTTCTGCCTACATCTACTCTCTGAACTACAACCCACGGGACCGCAACCTCTACGCCTATAATGATGCCTATATTGTCACCTACCAGACCGTGTTTGGGTGAACAGATTTGGATGCCCATTCTTCTCCAGCTTGTGGCCACACTTTCAAACCAGACCCAACAGAAGGGCACAACAAACAAACAAACAAAATTTGCTCAAAAATATTACTTACTTTTTTCCCCTCAGATGACCTTCCTACGGTGAGTAGATGTGACTGAAACATTACTTATGGTAAAGAAAATACAAACTAGTTTAAAAATGCTCTATGGACCTTCTGTGCTTAAGTATAGATAAGTAAGGAGCATTTGCAGTTGATGGTACAGTCTGGTTTCAGAAGGGTGGCTTTCAGGCTTTATAATCTTGATTTTCTTTAGTAATCCTATATATGCACACAGGGAGCAAAGATAAGAAATTAGTAAATGATTTAGTTGCACCGCAGTTTACGCCTGCTCTATGATAACTGGCCACTGATGATCAGCTGGCACTTTCAGAAAATCATGCAGTCATGCAATTTTATCATTTAAATTAATAGAAAAGATGTAGGTTCTACAAAAACCTTGTTCTGTACAGTACATGGTTATACTTGGGTGGGGAACTCACTTTTTGGGTTTTAGATCACCAGATCAATCACACCTGTACAGAACAAGGTACAGAACAAGAACTAATCCTGCCTTGCTTGCATGTAAACCAGATGTGTGAAGATTTTGATATGTGTAGCAGCTGCTCAATAAATTTGTACCGCAAATGTTGGTGTTCCTTTCATGCTTCACAACAAAGGGGTGTTACAAAAGCAATAATGTCCACAATCGAAGCTTGTCCATTTCTCTTCTGCTGCTTTAGCAGGACCAGAAGAGGTCAGCTGAAGACCCGGAGAGCCATCGTCAACCACTGATGGGTCTCTCTAAACGATGACTAGCCTCAAGGCTTCCCTCTCCTGATCTAGAGTGGATCTGTTTCTTTTTGTGTTTCATTCCATCTTTATTTTGTTGCTGGTATTGTAGCTCATTCATAAAATAATTTTATCACGCTGCTTATTACTGGGAACGGGATGGTACTGTAGCAGCTAGTGCTGCCCTATTCTGTAGCTCTTGGGTAGAGTTCAGTTCTGAGCTGGGGCACCATGTATATGGAGTTTGCGTGTCTTCTTTGTGTTCATGTAAATGCTCTGGTTTCCTCCTACCCTGCAAAGAAATACTGGTGCAGGTAATTAGTCTCTCTGAATTGGCCTATGATGTGATGGACTGGTGTCCCACCCAGGATGTAATCCTGAATACGTATTAGTAAAATAAAATATAAAGAATGACTAACTTTCCAACACAGGTGCTCACAAAAGATATTTTTGTATTTAATAGTTTCCTAAACAAATGTTTCCACATGTATAGTGATTTACGGTATGTGTAGATGCTTAGACATTGGTGTATTCCCTCCAGACCACAAGTGGGCACTGTAGAAAAAGAGCAACAGCTGTCCATTTACTTCTTCCTGGACAATGTTTGATCCTGACCCTGAGTGTGGTTTTAGCTCATATCGTAGGTGAGTGTACTGTCTGCAACTGCAATCTGCAAATACCAAACAAAACAAACTTTTCCTGTCCTACTACTACTACAATGGAAAACACAAATTGCCTGACAAAGGTAAGTGCTCTACTTTTCTTTATTTTGAAACTAGCCAGTGTGTTTGTAGTAACAAAATATTTTTATAGGTTGTGAGAAAATGTCTGATCACACCTGCCTTTCTTCTGGGATAAGATCAGGAACAGATAGGTTTTCAATTACAAAATGAAATGGTGTATGTAATGGGCCAAAAATGTGGTGAAGCCCCTACTCTTTGTAGCCTTGTTCCTGAAATTGTGTGGCTCTTTGAATCCATCAACAGTGCCATGATTTGAATTTCCCAGTTGGCTAAAGAAAAAATAGATGGCCAACAAAATCCTTCCCTGGGTTAACCATTCAAAGGTGTTTTCATTTAAAACATGTTAGAAGTATTGTAAATGAAGGTGTGGCAAAGCAGTAATCTGTTTTTGTTTTACATTGTACAGAAGTGGAATTCTGTTTAGAACATTTGACTTTGTGTTTAGGGAAGAGTTATTTTGGTGAAGAGAAACATTTAAAATCGTTTGATGAAGTGAATCTATTTAATTTCACTATCACATTGCAGGTTGGTAAATGGATCTTCCAGGCCCTCTGAGAGGTAAAGTGTAGAGGCCTATGTTAAAGTGTACATAGGCCTGAAAAAGAAATAATGGCTTGATATACTGTATAAAAAAGATGTTCTTTTTTATTTTGTTGGTTCTCTAGATGTCCTTACAGTACACAGTACTTTAAAACAGTGTTGAAAACACACTATCATACTCATACTACAGTCTTGCTTCCTGTATTAAACAGGACAAAGACTGTTCTGTGGCGTTGTAGTGGAGACTTTGGATATGATCAGAGATCTTCTCAAATGGCAGGCTCAAGACATTGGTTTCATGGCCTGTTTCTGTGTCGAAGGCATAGAAAACCTCCTCTCGGTAGGTGTTGACGTAGTGGGTGGCGTAGAGCACTCCACACACCATGAAAGTGTTGGTCACCGACTTCTTGAACAGCCTGGTCCTCCAGGTCTGGACCAGGCTGGAGGTGTTGAGTTTGCTCACCACCATGTTCCCATAATTCTCCTCTGTGGCATAGATTACCCACAATCCTTTTTCATACGCTGTGAAGTCTATATCTGTGGAATCATAGCAGCTGTAGTAGCAGTAGGGGAACTTGTCGTTAAAGCCAGCTCCAGGCAAGGTAGCACGAAGGATAGTCTTGGTCTTCAGGTCATATTTGCAAAGACTGGCCATCTTGTAGCAGCTGTAATAGAAAGCCTCATCATACAAGACAGAACCAGGACCTTGGATGGCGTTGGCTGAGGAGTGGGAAGAGGTCACAGTGAAGTCTTCATGGTTCTTAGACAAAATAAAGTCTGTGTAGGAAGCATAAGTACGCAGAACATTTCCATACTTGTCACTGCTAACCAGCCGCCGAATCCAGTAGATCTCCTTGGAGATTTTTCCATTTTTGATTTCTTTGCCCCAGGAGGTGAAGGGCCATGATGTTCCTTAAGGGCTGAAGTGTATAACCACAGGGGAGCTAATATTGGACGGCAGGTCTTTGGTGCATTGACCTACAATGTACCAAAATCAGAATTTGATCACACTGAAAACAAGTGAGAGAATGAAAGATGATTTTCTGAATCCACTATTTGAAAGCAAGGTGCAAATGACATTGACATTATGACAAAGACTTATTCCATATAAGTCACAATGTTGGAAATGGCCTGTCATTTCCTCTTTACCTCCAAAAGGCAAACTGAAGCAAAATCTGTTTTCTAAACATCGTGCAGGATGAAGTCTGTTTTTAACCTCAGATTCAGTCACTTCACTGCCTTACCAAATTGTTTGTTAGAGCCATTTTGCTTATTTTTCCCTTTTTGAATTTGCAATCTTCTCTTTAATTGAGGATGTAATGTCAACACATCATTTTCAACTACCCTCCAATCAGGGTTAACAGCAGCCATTTCAAAACTGCCCACCACAAAGACAGCGTGAAATCCAATACATTCTCCCTTATGAATAGAACCCATAGTCCTGGCTAGAAAAATTCATTATGTAAGAATTCAATTGCACTATACTTACATTTCCTAAGAAACTTCCCAATGAATTACAGAGAGTCATTACAACTTTGGAAGTTGGTTTAGTTTTTGCTGATTTCCGGCCACTTGGTGTCAGTGTAAACTAACATTTAGTACATTATGTATTCAATTGCTGTATACATTTGTTTTCATATTAGCTTTTATATCCTGCTACAATGCTTGAGAACATGTCACAACTGAAGAATGCAAATGTTCACAATAGCACTTAAATACTGGACATTTCACCTGTTCATATACCACTTTAATAAAATCACAGAACTATTAATATTGTTACCTTACTATTGCTACCCTCATTTTTATAATTGAAACCTGTGACATATTTTGTCTATAATGGATTAATGGATAATTTAAATCTTGCTAGTAGTTTCATCTGAATTCAGATAGGATTCTTAAATTCTACTTACTATGGCAACAGCTATGGATGGTAAATTGATAGGAAACACCATTACAGTTGTTATGTCCCAGTGTGTGGTCTATGTGTGTTTTGTTGTTGACACTGCTGACCTTGACTGTTCTCCCTCCCCCATTGGCCCACCATTTCACCACTGTTTCAGTATGATGTCATCATCAATCAGCTTCTCAGCCAATCAGAGTGCATCTTATTCAGCATACAACATGGAGGTTTTCAGAAGGAAGGAGCCTTTCGTTTGACTTCGGTCCCGCTCAGCCTTGGTTTTGCTTTGCTTCATTTCGCTTTTGGTTATTGCTTCAGCTTTTTTGGTTTGTTGTTTTGCTTTGTGTATGTGTGTTTTCGTTTAGCTTCAGCTTTGTTGTTTTGTTGGTTTCTTTTTGCCTCTTTGTACTTTCCTTTGTTTGTGATTATCCTTCTTTCGCCATTACCTTGCCCTAACGTGTTATATGTTCAACCTTTGTGTATAGTTTTAGGTAGTCAGTGGAGGTTAGGCAGGGTGATGAAGATGCCGAAGACTGTGTGTTTTGGGTTTTCTTTTGTAGTCAGGTTAGCTTTCCCTCACTTTCCTAGCCAGCTCCATTTTTGTTTGTTATTTTCTTTTCTTTGGCACCACTCTAGTTCCCTTACCCTATGTGTTATTGTCTTATTTCATACCAGTCACTTATTCACCTTACAATTATCAATTTGTGCACCAACCCCTTAATATCACGCTTCCTAGTCCCTCACCAGAACCCACCTGCTTCCAAAAATGATCCTAAATGTTACACCCCTTTACCCCTAGACACTTGGGGTCGTAACAACAGTCTAGAAATAGGAATAATGCAAATGTTATTATTCATTTATACACATGGGATTTTATTCTGTTATGTATAATCTGAGTCAGATCCAAGTCAGATCCCTGGGACTAGACTGTTGGCTGCATACTGTATGTCTTTATAAACCTGAGAATGTGTTATCTGAGAGTCTGCTGATGGAACACATGTAACTGTAACATCTAGCTTTTGTACTGTACCTGGAGGCTTTTCTCACTGCTGTCTTACAATGCCTGGTAAGTTTTAGCCACACATTCAAGGAGATTCTTTCCTTCACTGTGCCCATCACATGGTTGCCCTGCCTGTAGTTTGGGTGACCATGTGCCCTGAGGCTGCCCTGTCCCTTAGTGTGGGTGACCATGTGCCCTG